GGGCGCGGCGGGGCGGTTTTTATTGCCCTGCGCTGTGGCACACGAAGCAGAGAGTTTCTCCTGCAGACGGTTTGCTGCTTCTCTGGTCAAACCGCCGCCGGGCTGGAGAGGCACGGTTCTGGGGTGCGAGGTCTGGGGGGGCTCTGCGCTCGCGGAGGCCGAGCCTCGGTTGGCATCGTCTGTCCTCGAGGCCTGTTCATTCCGATCTCCCGTCTTTTTGGCTGTGTCCTCCGCTTCAGACTGTTTGAACAGAATCGTGTGAATGCAACTGTTTAAATAGTTCAATAACTAAGGACTAAGTTAATGATTAACTAATAACTAAGTTAATGAAATAAACAGAAAGGCCAGAACTGCCTGGTTTCGGTTGTTTGGGTGGGTTTTTATCGTTCTTTCGCCAAGGGTGTACTCCTGGCCTTTTTCAAAGAGAAAGTGGATAAGGCAGACATTCACTCTCACACAGAATTTATCTTCTTATGTTGTGGCACTTTTGTGTTCAAGCATGGCTGAAAACACAGTGTGTCAAGTCCTCCCACCTTACAGGCACGTCATGTAAGGCAGCTGTACACCATGGAAGAGCACGGACGCTTGCTTAGCATCTTCCCACAGTCTTGTTACTGTAATTCCACAAGGCCTGGTGTTATCAGGAGACTGGACCACGTGTCTGTTAATCTACTTAGGAAAATTTAGAGCTAATCATGTCTTGTCTTCCTCACACATGAAGTCGCCTTGTACAAAACAAAGCCATAAATAAGATTCCAGCTACACCCACCCTCAGATGCACCCAGGCATACATCATTCGAACGAGCCCCTGCAAACCCGTAAAGGGGCAGTACTCACTGTGTCCGGACTAGAGCTGAAACAGCTCTCTGTCTGCCTTGGAGAGCAACTGGGAGATTGGCTGCTGAGTGATGACTCCACATCTGAAAAACGGGATGAAAAGGAAAGAAAGGTTACTCACCAAAATTTCCCCAAACGTCCAACTCTCAAGTACAGCGTGTAGAACTAAACATTACTCCTTCTGACGCAGTTTTAAGATACTGTTTAAAGAATAAAGTTGTTAGCGAGGTCCATCTGGTTCTCGGCAATAGCCAATGCGCCTCCTCTCAGGACAACCAGCAGCCTGCACCGGCAGCAGAGCCGCGCTCCCCGAGCGGAGGAGGGGCCCTGCAGAGCCGCGGCAGGGAGAGACCGCGGCAAACCCTGCCCCAGGTGGCCGCCAGACGCCGTGCCGGTTTTCCTCTTGGAGGCCCTTGGGAGATCTTCGGCGCTGAACTGCAGCCAGCACAGCTCAGCCCTACAGCTACTGAGGGAGCAAGAAGGACGTGGGATCTCCCTGCGGGCGCCCCTCGCTCTGTCCACATGTGGAATGACAGTAAATAGTCTAGTGGAAGAGAATAAAGATAAGTAAAGGCTGGACCAGTAAAATTGGCACGTGTCAAACAGCTAATAAAGATATTAATTAAACCAGATAACATCTCCAAGATTTTTTCCAATCAGCAGAGGTCTGCAGGAATAGAAAGAAGGAAAATTACTGGCATTTACTTGGCACTTTTACTCGATGATGCTTGTAAACTCGAGTTGTGGTGTTCAGATTAATACACTTGCCCTCTCTCATGGATTTATTTTTTTTTTTTTTTAGCAGTCACCCTTACTTTCAGAGCTGGCTTTTCACCTTACAGGACAGCTTTGGAGGAAATAGGACAACAAAATAAATATGTGTATAATACTCACCACAGAGAGAAGGTAACCTGAATTTATCTCTTCAAGGAAAAGCAAACACAGATAGTTCTTAGTTACCTGGTAATGCTAGTCTTCTTCATACAGTGCTGCAGGAATCAAAAATACAAGCCCTCATCAAATGTAACATCCTAAAAAGTTCAAAACACTTCTTCCTGGCTTTAAAAGTAACTGTTTCAGTTCCACGTGTAGAGAAAAATCTGATTTCTTTAATTAACAATGTATAAATGGTACTAACCCTTCTCCATCTCGCGAAGATTTGAACTCGCTCTAAACTTGCATTCTTTCTCTTGTGCTGTTGTGAACTTTTAAAAATGATTAAGTGTTAATAGTGAGGGTTCAGGATCAGCACCTCGGGTTAAGTGAGGAACAGTCAGTTTCTGTATTACATAAAGCAGTCACTGCACTGTACTGCAAATTATTTTAAGAGGTACAAAACCCCTGAGCAACACTGTATGTACCTGTGACTTCCGTGGGAAAAATACCTAAAAGATTCCCTGCATGTATACTGGCATACAGCTCCCTTATCATACTGAAGTGTCCTGCACTGAACATCTGGGCGCTGCCTGCAGAATCCCAGGGGCTAACGGGTAACGAACACAATGTATTTCAGGCACCAGCTTAAGTGTGAATCAAACCATGCAAATTATGGACCTGAAACCACTCAACCAGAAGCTCTTCTTTCTGGATTCCCTATATAAGCCTTGAGCTTCCACAGAAGTAAATTCAGTGAAGCTAAATCCAGTTTCTAACTGTTGTGGG